GTTTGGTCTTACTTGATAATATCCAAATTTGATATGGTAAACAAGGAATCAGTTACAAAGGCTCAGAAAATAGTATGTGTGAGAAGTAGTTATTTCATACAATCAGAAAATGATACAATACAGAAAAAAAAAAGGCGGCTCTTAAAGTTTTTTAAAATACATTTCATCCAGAAAGTATACAACTTGGGAAGATAAATGACAGCAGTTTGTTAATTAAAACACATTCCACATAAAAAAGCAACTATCAGGAACACTGTGTACCAGAGTTAACCATTAAAAAAAAAAATCCTTCAAAATGAGGCAAAGAAAGGAACTAGTAGTTAACAGGGTAGCAGGAAAGAATGCAAAATAGTGGTTGTTAAGGACCTGAAGAAAACAAAACATCCAGTTGATTTCAGACTTCCTAGCTTTCCCTAGCATTTTTTAACCTTTTAATATAGTTCCTCCATAGCACTTTTTTTGGGGGGGTTGTTTAAATCCTGATCCAAATACCTTTGTCACTTTCCCATTATACCGCGAGAGTAGATGGTTTTAATAGCTACCTTAGGGTATACTTAGTATCTGTTAAATTCAGTGGAGACCACAAACGCCCTGAACATCTTACCTTTTCAACACTGTCCCCCCAAAAAGTTGCTTTGGCCACTGAATGAGACCAGGGCTCAGATCCTTGTTCAGCTATGTAGCCAACATTTAGTAGTAAACTCTTGTACCTGGTTACTTTTTAACTACTACTCAGCTATTGGTTGAATTACATACACTCAAAAATTTTTATATTAATTATAAATTTCAATGTTCCTGGGTTAGATTGTTACTCAAATTAGTACACTGTAGGAAAGTTAATGTACCTTATGTAAACATGTAAATCAACCTACAGTATAATTCAAAGTACTATGAATTTGTCAGATGTTACAAAACATGTGTATACAATGTAACAAGTTCTCACAGTTATGAAACATCAAGATAATCAGGGTCAAAAGATTACTGCTTAAGTCTGTTACAAGGGAGAGCTAGGAAATTTGGAATCACCTGGGTGGCTTTCTGAACAGGCCACGGGGTGTCATCCCATAGTTTCTCAATCAGTAGGCCTAGCGTAGGGTCTGATGATACTCATTTTTAAGAACTTCCCAAATGATGATATTGCTGGTCTTGGGGCTGGGGGTGGGGCGGGGTGGTGTCACATTTTGAGAATCACCGTCCTAAATTCTTTATAGACCATAGCTTTTGTTATCACTGCTATTTTATTAAGTTCAAAATAGAACTCACACATGGCATTAGGTTAAAGTGTGGCTTTCATGTCAGCTGGAATTACTGAGTAAGACCAGAGTGTCTTTAAACACAGACTTTAATGGTAACAATTAAGCTCAATTAACCTTAGCTATTACAAGTGTTATGCAGATGTCACTATTAGACAATATTTAGTGACTTGCACTGGGTTCCTCATAAAATAGACATTCACTTAAGTGTATTCAACAGTCATTTAACAGTTTTGTTATGCCAACATAAAACATGGCTAATCTGAGTCACTTTCAAAATCACTAACACAACATGATCAGCATCTGAAGCATGTCACGCCATTAAAAAAAAAAAAAGTGAGTGTTTCACTACCCCTGAGACCACTAGTTAACTGTGGTTCATACTTTAAAAATATTGTGAGTACACCCACACAACAAAGCAAATTAGTTGTTTTTACTTTTAAATCTGATTATCACATTGCAAACCTGCCCAGAAAAAAAAAGGAGTCGCTTTAAATATAATCTACCATTAACTGGTCAACTGGACTATTATTCTTATAGTTGAAGAGCAACTTAAGTACTCAAGATCTGAGTAATGCATTGAAAGATAAAGGGAACAAGAGAAGCCAAAATCAATTTTTACCTTGTGAATATTCACTTCAGTCCTATATATGGCACTAGTAATATAAGTGTGAGGGGGACAAATTCTTGGATTCTTTTGAAAGTTTCAATTGGAGATAATCTCAAGTCCAGTGTCTATACATTCAAAAATGTTGGTTTTCCAGGTACTTTACCGTTCTCTTAAACCTGGAGAAGCCTTTATGGCTTATTCCCTTAGAAGTGACATAAGAAACGTAGAAAGCATCAAGTTGAAGATACAGAGAACTGGACACATCTACTAATCATATAATAGTTTTAAGAAGTAATCTCTATAAACACTTACGTGTTGTCTATGGCTAAAAAGATCAATTTGAAAGCCAATCAAAAATCCAGCAGCTCTGACAAGTGTTTTATACTCATGGCTGGCTTTCAAGAAATGATGTCTACTAAAGCTGTTATTTTGAGAGAATACAGGAGTCTCAAGAATTATTCTAAAAATAGTCACAACAGTTTCTTACCTTGCGGAGTATGTTACTAATTTCTCATTTGTAGTCTGAATCCAACAGTTTTAGCAGTATGACATCTACCCTTGAGTTATTTTTAAAGCAAGAGATGAAAAATTCACTCATTGGAAAATTGTATAACTGGGTTAATATTTCTTAATGAAATGCTTATTACAGAATTAACAAAGCCAAAAAACATTTTTGGAAGGCATGCATTTCACTTTCAGTTCAGAGAACCTTAAGTCAATAAATCATGTCCAGACTACATATTAAAATGTTTATAAAAATCAAGCTTTAACATTTATTTTATATCTAGCTTTCCACATCTGTGTGCAGACAAGGAATAAGATTGCACATTAAGTGTAAGCAGTGCAAAAATGTGGAAGTGGAGGAAGTCACAGATGTGCTAGAAATTGAATATATAGGACTGTTAAGAAAGTAATGGACAAATCAAAATAATTAGGAAAAAAGTAGTAAAACTATAGGGTCAGAATAAGGACGGGTGAAGAATGATAATGCCCTTGTTACTACAGAAGTTAAATAAGTGGCACAGATAGCACTTGTCAAACAAAAAATAATCCAATAGCATTGACTTTTATTCATTCATGTTAAGTCACCTGAAACGATATCTGTTGCATTTAAATGCTCATTAATGTAAATGGCTGAACAAATCCATTTCAATGGATACTCAATCCTTAAAAAAAACCTCAATATCCCACATAGTTAAGTCACTTCAACACAGCCTCATGACAACTCCCACACCAAAACAGTACTTTATTTTGTAAATTTTGACCCATTATTACTCCCATGTTATGGTCTTTTCAGCTGTCAAGTGTACAAGGTGAAGAAAAATTTAAGATGGGGGTTTCACCTGGAAAATAAGTTTCTTAAACTCGATATACACGTTTCAAAACTGCTGGGTCCCAAGTCCATCTATGAACTCCAGGGCTGCCAGTATCATGTGCAGCATACTAAAGCTACACTATCTGAATAGCTTATTAATTCTGCATAAATCAGGTCAATCAATGTGTCAACCTGTAACAGACTGCGCACTTTTAACTGAACATGGCAAAATATTCACTCTTTTGAACTTTACATCATCATCTGATGTCAAACAATGAAGCAAATCCCAACAGTATATACAAAAACAGCTTTGCATTTACAAAAGATTGTTTCCCATACTGATTAATCCAGGCAGCTAACTCATTGGTTTATGCAACTTTATTGAAGAAAAATAAATCAATTCCTAGCAGAGCTATTAGTTGATCACTCATCCATTGACAACTTGCATCATTTATTCAGTGCTATATTAAACAGTGTATTGGAAGATAGATTAACTAATAGCTCCAAGCCTCCTAACAATTTAAATGAAAATTACAAAATGTTTGAGACCCTATTTTGGAATACAAAGGGTGTTTGACTTCCAATTTCCATTCTCTGTAGAACAAGAACAGGTCATTCCTTTATTGACATGCATAAAATACATCACATTTTCTGTTCTGCTGATGCTATAAATTCAATACCAATTCTCCAGCCACATCAGTTATGAGCATAAAGTATATCATGTAACCTCAAATCTCTAACAGTGGAAGGCTTAAACAAGAATGGATGCTGCTAGAATAATGCTGCTTCCTTTGATGTGACAACTGAGCATCCATCTCCCTCCCCCTCAGATGATTCTTCAGCATGTTAGAGCAGTGAGGAATGGTTTTAGTCTCATAACCAAGTTAGAGTGAAGATATTGGCCACATAATACACATGCTCCATTTTTTTTAAAAAATTCTGAATCTTGGGCAACTGTTCTCTTGTAACTACTTTACAGTTTCTAAAAGCAGTTATTGTCCAAAGCTGGAAGAACTTAAGTCTTCTCAGATGAGCATGTGAATGAATGGAGGGAGGTAAACAAAAAATAAAATTAAAAAAGATGAGGTCTGATAGGGGAGCAGCCGGATAAGAAAATCAAAAAAGGAACAGTAATTTAAAGTTTATTCCAGCTATAATGCAGGTTATTCTGACTTTAAGGTAGCATCACATGGCATACTTCTGAGTCCATTCCCGAGATATTCTGTTGTACCTGTAAATAAAAAAGAAATTATTTGAAAAGTTAAATAGTTCTCAATATATAAAGGGAAGGAAAGAATTTTTACCTTTAGACTCCTCTTGGAATCATCTTTAATGGCTGTGATTAGAATAAAGCCAACAAGGAAGAAAAAGCACTGGTACTCAAAGCAATGTAGGAAATGAGAAACTTAAGCTTCAATGTTCTAATACACAGAAAGTAGTGTTTTAATAAACACAACAGAATGGCACTGAGATTGGGGATGCTAAAAAAAATATATATATATATATAAAAGACCTTTTCTCTCCCCTACCACTAAGCTAATGTTCTATTAGAAACTCTACAATTAGTATCCATTCCAACAAATTTTAATATTCAAAAACGTTTATAACTCATCATGGATCTATATCAGAACACACACATTCTGTACATCTCCAGAAATTTCCATTAAAGCCAGACCAATTAACTAATAAACATTTTTATCTGAATCCTGGACTCTGAGAAGTTACTTGACCCTGGGTATTACCAGAAGAGAAAATGCCTTTGAGACTTTGGCACAGGCAGAAGATTAATTCATTTGGGAAGGTGATAAAAGAGCAGTAGTTTAAGAGGTGGGTATGAGTGATATGGATATGTATTAATCAAAACCACGTGTTACTTTTAAAACGTGTCTGGCGCTAACAAGCCCGACTTAAGACCTGATGACTAGGACTCCAGGAGTACAACTGGGGGCACCTTTTAAAACGATCAACAGGTAATTCACACTCAAGCAAGAATATTACTGAGAAAGATCACTAATATTGATAAAAGCTATCAATTTCTCCCTGTATTTACAACCATGCCATAAGCTACTTACCCAAACAATAAACGTAATGATAACCTTAAGAAATGAATATCAAAGGGCATAGACGTTTTGATTTATAATTTGAACTCTGTAAAATATCAACTAACTTCATTTCGAACTGAAAACTAAGCATGGTTCAATCACTTTTCTAAACTTTAACATATAGAAGTTCCACCAATTCACGGTTACCTCATTAAGGGATACCTCTCATAAAGCCAGCACTTTAAAACAAAGGTTTCACTTAGCATACAGGGAGCCACGAAGTACAGCTGACACTAATGCATGCTTGTCAGTAATGAACATTTAGTTTAGATGCTTAGGCTTACAAGTGTTTTTTTCTCCCTTATATTAATTATCTCTTGGTAAAATTTTAACTAAGTCACCACATTCCATATAGTATTGAAGTTTAAAATACATCAATTTTAAAGTTAAAATTTAAATACTGTAGTAGTTTGAAAAAGATACTAAAATATCCACTTCTTACTACTGCTATATAACTGCTTTGCCATGCAAAAATACTCTCAAGCAATAATGACTACTGGGTATACTTTCACGCTAAACAGATCAAGCAGTTAAATGTACAGTTTTCAGAAAACTGCCACATCTGTTACCTTTTGTTAGTTATTACAGTGCCTTAACGCATGCAGCACTCAAGTGCTGGCAGTACCATAAGTAAGCGCACCGTAGAGTGCAGTTCCTCTTACCCTACAACATAGCGTATTTCTCTGTCCACTCTCTTGCTAACCTATTGTACCTAATTGAACAAGTATACTTAGCATTAATTATAACATACAAAAAGTTATAATGATAAAGTTGTACATATAATGGTAAAGTTGTACATATATGAAAAATTTAAACCAAATTTTTACAACAGTACCAGTATTTTTTCCAAAAAACATAACTGGGGTGAAGAAAAAACAGCTTTCTTCCCCAAAACTTAAAAGTGACAAAGCACTGAGCATGTTAGAAAAATAGAAACATTTTAGAGGGGCTATTTACTGTCACATAAACCAAAGCCTAGTATTCAAAAAAAAAAAAAAATCACATTTCAGTAACTAGCTTTCTGCACATTTCAACTATCATCTTAACAGAAATAAGCATTGTCTTCTTGGCATTGCCACAACTTACAACAGAGAATAAGCCTAACTCATTAAGAAAAGCCACTTTTTATACTCTTTCATTACTACATACTTACTTATCTCTGTCTGTTTTATAGATCCGTGCAATCTCTGGCACTAGGGGGTCATCTGGGTTTGGATCACATAGCAGTGAACAAATGGATAAAAGAACTGGAAGAAAACAAAAGGTCTGTTACCCATCATTAGAAATTTGAATAAATAAAATTATCTAAAAACATTATTATAAATCTAAGTCCTCAAAAGATGTTTATTAGTTTATATCTTAATCTCCAAAGCTTTACAGACATTTTGCTTCATAGGAGTCAAGCTCCTGGTAAGTAAGGAATACTAAAAATGGAGCTTTGTTGGCATAAAGTTGACTGACTAGCTTTAAAAATATTGCCAAATTCAGGAGCTCTGCGATAGTCAAATAATGCCATATTAGTTTATATTAGCTTTTAAATTAGAACTTGAGCAAGTGAAGTTTCTGGGTACTCTAAAGGGGGTGGTCCTTAAGTAAGAGAGCTGGGGAACATTGTATGTTCTGTGCAATATTATTCTTAGCTGTTCAGCATGATAAAAAAATCAATTCTCTGTCCTGCTGTCAGGGGAGTTTCACAAAAACTCCCAGCTACCTCACCGACTATATGTTTTGTTCCCTGGAATTTATAAGATAGATACCATATCCCCAAAAGTACTGGTTAAATTAAACACTAAGATCTATTACTAAGTAAGCCTTCAACTATAGCTCTTATCCTGACCTGTTCATCAAAACATCAACTTAAAAGATGCCAGTCATCGTGGAACATGTATCTATTCATTTTGAATGCCTGTTATGTGTCAGACACTGCAAAGTTTTATACAAGTTTAAGATATAAAAGCTTAAAGTGGTATCACAACCCTTGGATGAAGATAAGAAGCAATACCATAAGGAAAGACAGTATTAATGTAGTGCTGTTACAGCAAATACAATTTTAAACCAAAGTGCAGGGGTAGGGGGCAGATATAAAAGTCAACCTACATTTACAACAGTGTTCAGTATTACAGTGCATTCCCAACGATGGTAAAAAATACTTGGAACCTAGTATTATGGCATTCTTAATACCATTCATCCAAATTGTTTTTCTTTCTCCCCCAAAATTGTTTCCAATCAAACAAAATATTGGGAACACTACACAGTCCCCTTAAAGGAAGGAGATTCAAAATGCATGCAAGCACATGAAAGGCTTTATGATGTCCTGCCATAAAAAACAAAAACAAAAAACCTGTTTCACTTTGCATTTATCATACTCATAAAAACAAAACTTTGTAAAACACTATTAACTATTTTAAGAAACAGTTTGGGGAAGTATTCAGCTAGAAAATAAGAATGCTTGGAGTTAGCTGCTATCCTCAAATATCTCAAACACTGTCATAATTCGCAACATTAAAAACTAATTTTGTGTATCTAAGGAATGCTAAGCCAATATCAAAAACTGAAAATTAATTTAAAGTTAGACTCCCATTCTAAGTGAAGTAAGCCAGAAAGAGAAAGAAAAATACCATATGAGATCGCTCATATGTGGAATCTAAAAAAAATGAACACAACAAAATAGAAACAGACTCAGACATAGAATACAAACTTGTGGTTGCCAGGGGGTAGGGTGGGGGGGTGGGAAGGGACAGACTGTGAGTTCGAAATCTGTAGATACTAACAGGCATATGTAGAATAGACAAACAAGATTACACTGTATAGCACAGGGAAATATATACAAAATCTTGTATCTTGTGGTAGATCACAGCAAAAAAGAATGCGACATTGAATTTAAGTATGTTCATGTTTAACTGAAAAACTGTGCTCTACACTGGGAATTGACACATTGTAAACTGACTATAACTCATAAAAAGAAAAAAAAAGTCAGACTCCTTTCCCATTAAGTAGTTTTGTGATAGGTGATTTTATTTATGGGGTCAAAGTGACATAAAAGCCATCAGAGTCATTCAAAAGAGAAAGAGATGGAGAGACACTCCATCTCCAAGATACTGACATGGAGAATGGACAACCTATTAGGGATGTCACAATAATGGATCCCTATCAAAATAAAGGAGCAGAATTGATCTAGAGAACTTTACCAACACTATGAATTTTAGACTATTATTAGATATGAACAAGGAACCCATCATGATCATGTAACACTTAACTGAAGTTTTTTTTAAGGTTTTTTTAAATCTAAAAAATAAACACAGGGAAGCAAAACCAGAATCTTCCTGTAAGAAACCTCAAGTTTAAAAGCTCTGTTAACTTTAGGTATACATTTTAGTTAAAAGGCAACAAGTGAGTGATCTGTGCAAGTGGCTTGGTATTGTAAAATACTACAGAAATCTGTTAAAATAAACTGCTATTGTTATTTGCAAATAATGCCCCCCACTCTAATTTGAATGTTAATTTTTTCTACAAAATGTCTTTAATCAATATTTGCTAAAAGAGCAAAAATGATGTTAACTTTTTATTCCTTTTCCCACCTTCATCAAAAAGTTGGCATTATAAAAACACTCAGGTAAGTAGGCTCAAAAATTAAACTCTTTTATAACTATTAGCAAATTAGAGCAGCTCAAGACTTTCTCTAAAAGTTTTACCTTTAGAAATAGTTAAAGCAGGAGACCACTGTGATCTTAGAATATCAAGACAAATGCTGCCATTACTGTTAATATTTGGATGATAAATTCTTGTTGTAAATGCAACCTAAAATAAATAAAAACAACTTTATGTATTTTTCCCAAATAAAAACAAGCATCCTAGGATAACTTTGGCAGAAGACTTTAGCAAGGCTTAAAATACTACCACAATTACAAAAAATAAAATGGCTACAACGTAATTCATACACATAAAAGGACCAAATATTACAGAAACTGGTTTTTATATTCCAAACAAGATCCCATAGGGGCTCCCTCTTTTTAACTAAAACGGAAAATACAACTCTGTGGCAAAAAAAGTTTATTATCAATAATATGGTGTGTTGTTCTGAAGGTTAACTTTAAATAGCAATTTGAAGCATACTTAACATTCACTAAAAAATAAGGAACTTCTGAATGTAAGCCAAAATGTACAGACCAGTTCATTTAAGGTATCAAGTTGCAGACTTGTGTGTTTGAGTTTGCATTTCCACCGTACATAAAACATAAATCTGAGTATCAC